GCAGACGGTATAAAAACTTAAAAGAAGAAAAAAAAAATTTGAAGCTCTAAATCCAACAGCTCATAGAATTTGACAAAAATTACTATAATTCCTTCAACCCCATGAATATAACAACAGAAACAAACTTACCCGGAATGTAAACGTGCAAAGCATAGTTGCCTTCGACATGAGGGAAGGTCCTGACTCTACTGGTCTGACCAGTTTGCAAGTAATCGGGCGTCCCTTTCAGTGACAAAACAACAAACAGTTGGTGAACAAAGCTGAAAGTAAAGCAGATCGAGCTTCGAATGCAAAAGAACATAAGCAAAACATGAACCACTTAGGGAATTGGGAGGATCAAGGAGATAAAGACGAGGTGGAGGCAGCCAAGATGAGAGCGTCGCCTCCACCTTGGACTCTGATTTGACCGGTGGTACCGATGGAGAGGAGGTACCAGTGGCGCCAATGGACGGTGGTCGGTAAGTGGCTCTGCGAGCGTCCATTTCACGCGCTGTTAATGTAGAATCGATGCGACCAGGACCAGTTCCTTCCCCAACGTGCCCATTCTCGAGTTTATCCAAAAATTGGGCGTACAGGCCCGAAGCCCAAGAAAACGGAATTGGGTTTAATTGGACCCATTATTGAAACTTAAAGTTGCAACCCAATAGTCGGAGGGCCAAAATTTGAATTCCCAACTTTCTGGATTTGGAGGGAAAACCGAAATATTCACCAGTCCATCTTCTTCCGCTACATATTTTTTCCACCTCTGTCTAGGGTTTTCTCTTGAGCTACGAAATGCTGTAGAGGCTGAACGAATTCTGTTTCAGTCTCATCTTTTCTTCTCTCAAACACAAATGTCCGACGAAAATGTGAATTTCATCCATTTTCATCAACAAACTGCTCGAATTTCTCAGAATTTCAGAGCATCGAAGCCACTCCTTGATCGTAAACGGGCTCGCGATCTCGAGAATTCTCCTGATCAATTGTCGAGCAGGTATGCAGTTTTCTTGTTTCAATCGCACGATTTCTCCTTCTCCATCTCTGATTCAGTTACCGATTTGCGTTTTCTTGATTTCATTTGCTGAATATTCCTCAGTGATTAGGAGATTTTATTTTGATTCTTTGCATTTCTCTTGTTTGTTTGTGGCTTTTTAATTCATATTTAGGGATGGAATTCGATGTAAACTGGAAGCTCAGGTTACTGAGTCTAAAAGGATTCCTCTGATGGAGATATCTGTAAACACTCCATCTCCATGTTCTAGAACGGGGAACAAATTGATACAGAGTGAATATAGCAGTATTTCAGATGATAGTTCATATATCCATAGGACGGAATCAAACCGTGAAAATTCAGATGAGAGAAAAGTGTTTGTTTCTATCAACAATAAACATGTATCGGATCCTTTTGTTACCCTGATCAAACAACCAGAATGTGCCAGTTTAAGTGATTATTTCTCGACACCTAGCCTTCTAGATGATGATTTTGATGAATCCATGTTGGAAGAAATCGATGCTATATGTGAGCAGCAATCTGCAGCAAAAGCAGAAAGGCAGGATCCAATTGTGAGCTTAGACGTTGGAAGTTCACGAAATGATATTAGTACGGATGACTTTATCGCTACTTCAGATATTCTCTCCTTGAGTCATGATGTGAGAGCTTTAGACAATGGAGATGTTTTGGATCCAAAAGAGTTTGACATAACTATTGCTTTGAGTACATCCTGTGAGAGCATGCCTGAGGAGTACTCAAAATACATACAATCTTTAAATGATAAACAGCGTGAGGCAGCTTGTAGTGATATATCAATCCCTTTAATGATTGTTGCTGGTCCAGGAAGTGGAAAGGTATCTTTCTCCATCAAATACCTTTCATTTCAGCATTTATTTATTTTTATCAAATCATGGTAAAAGGTGTTGTTCCTTAATTACAGACTTCTACGATGGTTGGGCGAGTCCTCATGCTGCTTAATGAGGTATTCTCAATTTTTTGTATTTAATCTGTTAATTTGGTTTTCTTTTCTTATTTCAATTTTTTAAAATGGATGGAGGTGCCTCATCTAACATCTTGTCATACACAGGAAATGCATCCTGTATCAGTATCTTTTTCAGCATCTTTTTCAGCTTGGTTATTCTCTTTCTTTTTATGATTTTTTTAAAAATTTTCTTTTGCTTAAAATTTGGTCAGGGAATAAGTCCATCAAACATCCTTGCAATGACATTCACTACTTCTGCAGCTTTGGAGATGAGAGAGCGCATTGGAGCAGTTGCTGGGAAGAAAAAAGCTAAAGAACTTACAATCAGCACATTTCATTCATTTTCTTTGCAACTTTGTCGCTCACATGCAGAAAAGTATGCATAACTCTCTGTTAGCAATTTGCTGAAGATTTTAAGATGGAGCAAGTTTGTTTTCAGGTTCTATTTTGCCACAAAATTACATATGCCCTTTTGTTGTAGGTTAGAACGCACAGCAGAATTCTTAATATATGGACATGGCCAGCAGAGAAGAGCGATCATTGAGGCAGTGCGGTTATTAGAAAATGAAAAGAATTGTGATGCCCACAAAACTGAAGGGAATTTTAATGGTAGGAGGAATCCAGAAGATTTTAAGGATAAGTCAAAGAAATGGCAGAAGTTTGTGACTAAGGTTAGTTATTTATAAAGGGTATAACCTTTGTTTAGCTGTCTGTTCCATTTTTAAACTTTACAAGGTCTTTATCTCTCACTGGATTTTTTATTTTTATTTTTTTTATGTCAGCAAGTTATGGTTCTACATAATGTCATTTATTTGATGTTTTAAGCTGTTCTAATATATCTTGGCATCCAAATAACTTTTGCCTCTTATTATTATTATTTTTTTTCCCTTACAGCTCTATTCTTTTGTTGGTCAAACTATCAATGGCTTTTTTGTTTAATCCAAATCTTATCATTCATCATTTCAGGCTAAAGCTTCTGGAAAGACTCCTGCTGAGTGCTGTAAAATGGGTGATGAGATGGGAGTAAGCTGCTGAATAGTTATTTCAGAGTCAGACTTCTCTTTTGCTACTTTTGCATTTTTCCTTGTGATTCTGAACTATGCATCTGGATCAGGCTGCAATTCTTGGAAATTACAATGACATATTAATATCTTGCAATGCTCTGGATTATCATGACTTAATCAGCTGCTCATTGAAGTTGCTTACTGACTTTCCTGAAGGTTCATATTGTCATATATATAGTCATTTTGGGGCTTATGCATTGTTTATTCTCTGACTACCATTTGCCCTATCAAACTTGAAGTGTTCAAGGAATGTCAGGATTCGTGGAAAGCCATCATAGTAGATGAGTTCCAGGATACCAGTGCAATGCAATATGGTCTTTTGCGAATTCTTGCTTCTCATAACCGCATAACTATTGTTGGTGATGATGACCAGGTCTACTTTTATCTTCAATGCCTTCATCTTAGCGAAGCTGCTTTGTTTTCCTTTTCTCCCTTCAGTGCTCTAAATTTATATTTTTCCAAATCCCTTCTTAAATGTTTTCATTCAGAAGACTTTTATCCTACTGCAGTCTATTTTTAGTTTCAATGGAGCTGATAGTTCTGGTTTTGACTCATTTCGCAAAGATTTTCCAAATCACAAAGAGGTCAGAGTTACCTAGTTGCCCAGCCACTATATTTGTAATTCCAATGCATCTAGTTTTACATGTTGATTTTTCTAAGTATTCTCATTCATAATGATTGGTTCAGATTATTGAATCTTCCATGTATTAACAATTCAGATCAGACTTGTGAGAAACTATCGCTCCACTCGCTGTATTGTTGAGGCTGCATCTTGTCTCATACAAAATAATGTCAATAGATGTCAGTCAAAGAATTTTCTTTCTGAAAATTCCCATGGATCCAAGGTAGGTTTAATTTTGCCATCGCTTCCATGTCTGATGCTTCTATGGTTCAATTTATTTCTTGTCGGTAACTTTACCTTCACATGGTTTGGGCCACAATAAATAGATCATTCTGAAAGAATGTTACAATCAGGATGCACAATGTGCATATGTTATTGACAAGATCTTGGAAAATGCAACCGATGGTACAGTGGCTAGTTCATCCTATGGCAATATTGCAATTCTTTACCGGAGACAGGTCAAATTGTTTCTCAAAACTTTTCTTTCCAGTGTTAAAATGCATGAGGCAATTCATTAGATATCTGCTGAGTTGCTGACTGAAAAATCTTAGCTTCAATTTACTCTACAGGTATCAGGAAAACTGTTTCAAACAAGCTTCCGCCATAGGAAAATACCATTCAACGTTCACAGTGTGGCCTTTTACAGGAAAAAGGTTATCAACATGCTTCTGTTTTTAAGCTAATTACTATCTTCAACCCAAAAAAGAATAATGGGGAACCTTGTCTAATCCAACAAACAGAAAATTTTCTGAACAGTATTATAGTAAAATTACTTTTCAATAAAAACAATCTTAAAGCCACCGCAAGTTTGGAAATTAGAGACTGTCGTATATTTGTGCTCTTTTTCTGGCTAGTTAATATTGTCTTTTTGTTTCCATATGCATAGATGCATGCTGATAAAATAAATACTTTTCTGAACAGGTAGTTAGAGCCATTATTGCTATGCTTAAAACAGCATTGCCTGCTTGCGATGATGATCCATATCGTAAAGTGTTCAAGGCTTTGCTTCCATTTGAAAAAGAGGAAAAGAAAGGGGTACATAAACCATTGTTTCTTCATCTTTTGTGCTTGAATGTGCACATTCTTGATGTTTCAACTCTTTTCTTCAAAAATATGAAATCACTATGGAGTCTCATATCTACAAATTCCTTCTCCTTCTTCCTTTTGCAGGTAATCGACTATGTAGACAAAATTTCAACTATTAGGAAATGCAGCTTCATATCAGCCGCCTCTGACATCTTTAATGCAAAGATTTCCGGTACCTTCAAGAGGTTTTATTTAGCTATGTCCTCTTGACAACTTTTCATGTGATAGACACTCTGTCATATGAGTTGGATAGATAAGATGGCTGTTTTAATTCTTTTCTGCCGCATGAAATTTTACATCTAGATTTAACAAACCTTTTAAACTGCAAGATCATTTAAAATTGAAACAAAATCTAGTCACTTTTAATTTACACAGCCATTGATATGAAACCTCACTCCTATGTGATAGATTAGCATGTAGTCATCTGTGCTAGCATTAAAATGAGTTGGGCATGTCAAATATCCTTTATCTTGTATTGTTCTTTCTCCCTGCTTTTACAGCCTGTAAAACTTCTCTAAGATGTACTTGTGCGTGATTTTTGTACTTGATCACAGGAGTCAACTTACAAAGGGTCGTAAGGTGCTGTTGACTCTAGACATGATTTCAAAGCTTGTTCAGAGGGTAAGTTTATGAGCTAAAACGTGAGTGACGATTGCTGAACTTAGGTACTGCATTGAGATTTTGATCCCAAAAAACAGAAGGAAAACTATTTCCTCCATGTGGTCAGAGAAGGAAACCTGGAATGAATTTTCTAGATTTTAAATTTTTGATGATCAGAATGCACCTTTTCATTTTTTTCCCCCTGTTTGCTACGTTGCTATTAATCTCTTCTAAACCCAACTTTTTTCTTTAGTGATAAATTCTGACATTAGCAGTGTCTTGTTCTGTATAATGGCAGTAATGTTGCCTATTAAGCATTTACTTGCAAATTGCTATAGTTTTCCCTGAAAAGAAGGTCAATATGGGCTGTCAACGTTTATTTTACAGATGTTTGTCTTAGCTGTCAATATTTTGCAGGAACAATCCATTTCAGCTGTAATAACTTCTGTTGCAAACATGATACCACAGGTTTGTCCCTATTTTCACCCAATTTCAAATTCGGAGATCATTAGTCAAGGCTAAACTTTTCCTAGTAATGTGGCTTAAGACTAAACTATTCATCTAAAGGCATTTTCCCCTCAAAATTAGTCTGGCGCAACTATGCCTGCCTTTTCAGTTAGCATAAAGATACTGTAATTGAGTCTTGAGCGCACAATATATTTTGCCATAGATGTCTACTTTATGATTTGCCAGTTTTCAACTTGTTTTATGTATCTTAGTACTGCTGAGCATGTTACTGTTTTATGTCTGTATTTTAAACTTGTTTTAATCAAATTTTCTCTAATCTGATTAACATTTCTTGGGGACTCTGCTGAAGCACTCCCTACCATATTTCTTCTTGTTTATCTGATGAAATAGAAGCTGCCTCTGAAAAAGCCATGGAACGTGATAGAGACTTCACTTTCTACACTTTCCATCCATTTTGTTTACATTCTGCTGCATTTACATTTTAATCATTTGCTCACCTGACTTCAATTTTTAGAAATACCTTCTTGAGCAACGAGCAGTCATTGATGTTGATGGAGGAAAATATCTGAATGAGGAT